AGTCTTCCCTGCGCCCATACCCAAGTATGTGATTGGGATAATAAGTCTGTGACTTGCCTAGAGCCATATGCAACGATCGGTCCTTAATTGACACAGACAAGGAAAAAAGTGTAACCGAGCTATGCCTTGTTGGCCTGTAGGACACAAACCTTTACACCCACCAGTACCCAAACCATATCCCTGCCCGGCCACCATTTTCTTTTCCACCATTTTATCATGAGTGATCTTATTTATCACCTATTTGTGAGTAACGGCAGGTTACTCATGCTACCGATATCCTGAGCATAGCAACTACTCAACCTATACTAGTAGGACTCATGGGTAGATATATTTATGCATGTAGTTTCCATAAAATGCCTATAACTTAAATGCACATCATATATATATATATATATATATATATTATTAATCATAAAATAGGGGTTATGCATCGGAGCTTGCCTTGGGCACGCGACGGGTCAGCAAAGTCAGTACCAAAAGGCTCTAGGGCTCCCTCCCGCACGAGGATCTCCTCCTCGTATTCCTCAATGACTTCCTCGTACTCCTGTTCGTCTCACGGGCACGAACTCGACCAACTCATGATCTATATGCATGAAATGATGGTGCAATGCTTAATAATACAGCAATAGCAACTTTTAAAAATCAAAATGCGTCTATCTAACTACTAAGCTGGTGCTACCAACCCAGGTACTAAGTTATCTATTGCTACCACTAACAAGTATGAAGCATGACATACATTATCATAGCAACTACAGATATTCTTACTCCTAATTCTGATTTACGCTATATATGATAAAACAAGGCAAATAGCTACTCTACTTATCAACTTATTCTAGGGCTACAAAACTTACAGCAAGTACATAATAATCCAATGAGCCTACTATAAAATTTTTAGAGCTATAGCTATCACCAATTTACCACAAAAATTCCTACAAATATTAATCTATATAATACTAAGCTTTCTAGTTTGGATTTATGATCTACTCACTATCATAGCTAACTGTAATCTAACTATACTAATAGATAGATGGCATTTTTGTGAACCTAACAAACTTGGTTTCACTATTTATGGACCTCTATGGAATTTACTATAATTTATCAAAGTTCAGCTCAAAACTTAATTGAATAAATGTTTATACTTCACTGGAAATTTGAAAACGTATTCTACCAAGCTATGCCCAACTTCATGACGCTCTCGCCCACTACAATGACCCACGCTGCCCAGCCAGCGGCCCGTGCCAATGACAATGCCCAAATGAGAAGACCCACGCGCGGCTAGCGCTTTTGCAAATGAGTCCCCGCTCTTTCTCTTATTCGCAAAGCTAACCCGAGCACTATTTTAAATGAGTCACTGGCTTCGCATCTAGAACCCTGCTTCTATTTGAATTCACGATTTATAAAGTCCCTGGCTGGACTAACAGAGGTCGTGGCCTTACTGGTCAAACGCCGACGAGCACAGACCTCTCCGGCACCAACCCGCACCCCCATGAGCCTCTACGTGCAACACGCAACGGATTGAGGTAACAAACGCCAAGAATGGCACGTCACGCAGGCGTGGCCACACGCCACGGTGGGGTTTGGCTGCGGCAACCCGACACCGGTGAAATCACCTAACACCACACCTCTACTACTACCCGATAACCATCTACAGGCTAAGAGCAACAACATTGAAGCCCTAATTGAATCACTACCGCTCCCAATCAAGCTAGCCATAGGAACGACATCTAAGCCATCTCGCCGGCGGCAGCCAACGCGCTCCGAGCGACCTAGCCCCTAATTGGCTCAACCGCCTATCCTAGGAGCAAGAGGGCCTCACCACAGATATGACGGACGGGCTGGATGAAGTCGCGAGGCTCGGCAATGGGCTGGCCACATGCGCGAGGTTGCTCAGGTTCCACGCCGGCCACGGTGAAGGCGTTCCCGGCTGCCCTGCTGCTCCGTCGGTGGAGCCATTGCATAGGCGAGGCAAAGGAGTCAAGGAGAGGCAACAACCCTGCTCGATTGAGACAAAAGAGCAAGGAGCATCGCCCCGGGCCGAGAACTCGTCTCACCGGCCATGGCGGACCGCCGAGGGGAAAACTCTCCCCATTACCTAACCGTAGGAAGGAACCCGTCGGGGTGACTCCAATCGGAAGCTAACTACCCTAGCTATTTGGGTGCATGGTGAATTGGGAGGAGATGGACCACACTCGGCCAATTTGAGTGGCGACTGCGTTTGACTTAATGGTGTCGACGACGACGGCAAAAACTTAAATTGGCGCTCGACACCGTACTATCGCCTAGGACAAGTTAGGCACGAAGTTGTACCCCTACTCATCCTCCAAACGTGGGCAATTGCAAGAGGGAACCGGCTCAGTGAGTTAGGCCTTGGCGTGGCGCGGCGGCCGGCGATCCTCCAGGCGACGCGATGGAAACGTGGCGTGTCCTCGCTTGGAAACGTGAAGGCGAGGGCCGGCAGGGCCAACCCATGCGCGTCTGCAAACGTCAACGGAGCAAGATGTAGCATGTCAGGCGCGCGCGCGCGGCGCGGGCGGCGACACCGACGACGAGACGAAAACGCAGCGCACGCGAATGACGGCGGCGGTGGTGGCGCAGACGGACATGATGGAGGAGGCAGAGCAGCTAGGCCCGCTGGACCCCGGCGCGCACGTGTGTGCGCAAGTCGCGAGCCAGGCGTGGCAACAGCGGTGTGTGTCCGGCGATGATGATGGCCGAATGGCGGTAGCGGTGACGACTAGCGAACGCGCGATTATGCGCGTGTGGCGTCGCGAAACTACGTACGTGCTAGCGTGGCGGTAGGAGGCCGTGGCCAGCAACGCGAGAGGGCCACGCAGCGCGCGTCGCGTGCTACGCAGAAGAGCGATGACGCATACGGCGCGGCAGCGCGCAATAGGCTGAAGCGAGCGATCTTGGCGGTGCCAAAGCGAACCGGCGGGACCGCGCCCGGAGGTAGAAACCGTGTCGTGCACACTTTTTAAAGTTGCTACAAAAACCAATTCGATGATTCAAAAGCTAAACCAGTTATTCTATCCTCAAGAGGGTACATAGGGCTATCGAACTAAGCCAAAACATCTTGCCACTTCTTAACCCGATCGTTCTATAAAAATTGTCGAACATGGCTTCGTCGACCCATTTTCTGACTTGCGCGAAATGACTATGCTTCAAATGGTTTCGCGTCGAATTCCTTTTGCAAGCTACTCGATACACTAGCTAGCGAACCCCGTCCTCGACCGCACGTATTTTATCGCCGCCTACGAAGTTCGTACTACGAACTTTATCAAAGTTTCGCATAAGCGTTCTATAGCATTTTTGTTCGATAAAAATTCACTTAGAAACCTAAACGATATAAAGCGACATGAAATGTAGTATTTGTTTCTTGTTTCAGATGAACGTTTAAAGTGCCGTACATTGATTTATACCCTATATTATACACATTTACACACAAGTAGATGCTCATGCAGTGTTTTAGCAAAAACTATACAATGTAACACCGATGGTGTTACATAATGCTCATTTTCAAAGTTATGTTATCCAACCAGCTCCACCAGATAAGCCTTGCATATCCTTGAGAGTCTTTTTATTTCTCTTCTATCGGGTAAATCTAGCTGAGTAAAATTCGAGTACTCAGGGTTTTATCCCACCTTGTTGTAGGTGAAGGTCTCATCCTGCTGAAAGTGGTGGCTATGTGCCGGTGGGCTCGGTGATTCTATATTTATTTCTCATCTATATGCTTTTGTTGGAGGATGTCAATTAAGCTAGCAATATAATTCAACTTATGTTATTATAATTATTTTAAAGCTATGTTGTTTTTTCTCTAATCGGATTTAAACTCAGTTTGTATTAATTATTTATAAACACAATTGTAATATTATTTTCGCTGTAAACTCCGTGTATGTGATGTGTATTTGCTTAATCTAGTATGGTCTTAGTTGTGATGTGGATTTACCAAGATCCTTCGTGACACTCGACGGACTACCGAATTTATATAACTGAAAGTGTGCGTGTATCAATGTGTTAGCGTGAGCAGCCATATTTGATCTTGTATAAATTAAACGGTTCTATCACATCTTCTTCATCACCACAGGACGTCGGCGACGAGAAGGCCCGACGGCGAGGGTGTCTCCTCGGCGTTTCCAACGCCGTCGCCAACGGCGCCGGCGGGTTGCTGCTGGAGCTGGTCGAGCGTGGCGCGAAGGAAGAAAATTTGGTGGAGCCTGTATGCACGTGGGTAGTCGTGCATACATACGTCAGATGGTGCCGCGTGGAGGTCGCACGGATCCGATGGCAATCGTATCAGACGCGAGTCTGGACGACTGGAGCCGCGCATTAGCGCATGGGACCAGAGGCAAAGCAGGGTGAACAAAGATAAGTCACAGGCAGTTGATTTTCTCTGGATGGACACGCGGCGCCTGATAAGAGTGTGTATGCATGGGAGGCTGATTGGATACTGTATCCATTCAAAATTCAATTTTTTTCCCGGCGCGAAGGCCCACTGCGACAGCCCGCGCGGAGCCTATCTCGGTTGCCGCGGCAGAGGCCGCACGCGCGCGCGAAGCCCAGCTGTTGTTGCATCCTGCGGCCTGGCCGGGCCTTGGCAAACAAACAGTTTCTCGCTTATATTCACCTGAAAATAGGAGCACCGTGGCCGGCTGGTCTGGCGGGCCGCGGGCGCGCGTCGTTCGCCACCCGCAGGCCACAGCCCACAGGTGCGCGTGACAAGTCGTGCCAACAAAAAGAAGCTTTTCGACCAGAAAAGACGCGACGCTCATGTGCCAACAATTCGCTCGCGGCGTCAAAAAATAAAAACAATTCGCTCGGTCATTCACTCTCCGGCTTTAGTAGCTTTACCCACCAGCGACCAAAAACAAACAAATCAGCAACACAACAAGCCAGCTGCACGGCGGAACCAGTTCCATTTCCATCGCTTGCTTCTCCTCCCACCTGCAACTGCGACGCCTGGTTTCCCAGTCCTGGTTGTCTGCGCTGTTTGGTCTCTGCTCATGGAAGAGCCGAGGAGGCATCGGTTCTTCAAGGTCCTCGCTGTCGACTTCGCGCGCCGAATCGTAAGTAGCCCTCCCTCCTCCTCTTCCCGCCGCGCGTCCCCCTCCGTCTGTATCGGTGTTCGCATTCGCAGGCCTGGTCGGAGAGGGTTCGTGCCGTGTGCTTAGCGGACAACTGCGGTCTTTGATGCGGCCGAAACCCTGGCACTGCATCCGTTCCTTTGTGGATTGCTGCTGATGGACGAGCAGAGGATTATCTGCATGTGCATGCCTGTGGGTTTTCCGATTTTTCTTCTAACAGATGGGATTCATGCATGTTTCATGTAAAAAGAAAATCTTAAATTCAGAAGATCAGAACTAAAAAGGGCAACAGGTTGGTAATGCCAGGTGGCAATCATGATGTCTGGTATTACTATAGGACTAGTTAAAGACTTGCCTTCATGATGCTTTCATGCGGCCCTTAAAATGGTACCCTACTGGTTTGTCAATTGTTAAAACCACTGCATTTCCGTCTCTAATGACTAATCTTTGACATCATCATAAAGTGCCATTTTCGCTTTTCGGTTAACTACTCTAGTGGAACTAGCTCGTCGTCCTAACCTTGTTTCTGCATGTAGGAGATACCTCAAGGCTTCCTCTGTCATTTTCCAGAGGGGAGACACAGAAAGTCTGGCACTACAGTGGTTGCATCTCCTAAAGTCGTCCTTACGAATGCTCAAGGGAATATTTGGCCTGTTGAGCTAGAGGAAATTGACGGCCGCGTGTTTCTGACCACTGGATGGCCAAAGTTTGTGGAGGACAACTGTTTGGGGAAGGGTGAATTCCTTATCTTCAAGTACTATGGGAGAATGCATTTCATGGTCTCCTTTTTTGGTGTGAATGCTGTTGAGAAGTCAGGTTGGTCTTCAGGGAGTGGCGCCCAAGCTACGGAGAATGTAGAAGGAGAACCCCGTGTCCTATCATCCCTTCTAGGAAGGGAGGGCATAGTGGCGATGGATTAACAGAAAAAGTTAAGAGTCTTATGCATACTCACTCTCAGGTTGATATACTGGATCACTCTCTTGTAGGAATGCAACTAGTCTAGTATTGAGGAAATAATTACATCAATTCATATGGGTTCTTTGAGTATATGCATTCTTCCAACTCTCTAGTTCACATCGAGTCACATTATTGTTAACATGGTCTTAGATAAGTTAGTTTTGCATATTTTGTAAGTCTACAGTAAATTTGGAGTCATATTATGCATGGTGATCTTCATGAAATTGCTGTTGGCTAGAGAAGCCTATCGTTCAAAAGAATTATTTCCAATCACTTTAGACTGCTGCCCTAGCTTCAGTTTTTCATCATACTCCATGTTTGTTTTCATACAGCATAATCCAACCAGTGACAAATATCAAGAAAGTTAACAAAGAGATGAAAGTTTTTGTATTTGGTCATGCTTAACTCTGTAGGCAATAGAATTGAACATTTTTAAAAAAAAAGCTAGTATGGCATGTATCTGTATCTTTTATGATTCCCATCAGATAGACAAATATGCCTGATGGAATGAAACAAATGGAGTACCTTTTTGGTTCAAAACAGGGAGCATTCATTTTAAAATGTTGATAGTGCCTTACTTCTAATCCTGTCCTGTAAAAAAGGGCGTGTCAGAGAGTTTAACTGACCTCGCTAGTTTTGTAAGACTCTACCGCTTGCACTTTCTTAATCTAGTTTTGTATAGAACTTCTAGACAGATACCATGCAACGAAACACTCAAGGGGATGAACTCATTTCATCCCAGGGCACAATTGATTTCCTTGACTCGCATGAAGTAGTTTGCTCCAAAGATTACTTGGAGACATACTTGTCACAGAGTGAGACAATGGAGGACGATAAAGCTAAAGCAGTAGCGGAAGTAATGAGAACTTTGCGTGTTGACAAATTGACAGTAGACTTATTCTGTTCTATACTCTGTTTGTATAAATGGAAAGTTGAGTCGGCTGCAGAATATTTTAATGTTTGTAGGGACAAACCACAGATTCTGGAACAATCTCTGAAGCAGAAATTTGTTTTGCAGTGTAAGTTTTTTTTAATTACTTCATGGTCTTTCATTTTTGAATTGCTAACACGGCTATCCTTTTTGTCTTCAGTTGACTTTGTAAAGGGACAACTACAACGCTTCTTCCCTCAAGATTATGATTATGAGGGGATCAAGAAGAACAATATTGAGGGACCTAATTTGTCTAATCAACCACTACAACATGACCTGATAGTGGCACCAGTGAAACGGAGGCTAGTTGATGAATATAAACCTTGTGACTTGCCTCATCGACAGAAGAGAATAGTTAAGTTGCAGGGAAACTCACTGCAAACTCAAACACCAAGAAGATCACCACGATTGGCACACACCAGAAGATCACCACGATTGGCACGCACCAACAATACTTGTAACAACAACAAAAAAGTGTGCAAAGGAAGAGCCAAAGTGCTTAAAACACCACCAGATGCAAGAAATCAGGTGAAGGATAGAGCACATAAATCATGTTCGCTTCATAAGAAACTAGATAATGCCTTGAAAGCAGTCCATGAAGAAGCAACAGGTGATCTTTTGGTTGCTCTTGTGTTAAAAAAAAATTTGGTTGCTCTTTGTTAGAACTTTTTTTATAACATCTCAAACTTCAGTTATATCAACTTTTGCCTTTCTAGGTTCCTTATCTCAGGACCTCAGGATACCGGATTCCCCACAGTGTGAGGTTGGCTTAAGTAAAGAGCATGAACATGATCAAGGAGATACTGGCAAAATGTTGGATCAAGTCAATGATGGAGAAAACTGTAAAGAACATTTGAGAAGAGATGCTATGGGAAATTCTGAGTCATTCATGAGTACATATTGCGTAGAGCCATTGCCAACCAACTCTAGGTTGACAGCATATTCAAGAATAAATGAGCTATCATTTACATGGAAGCCCTCAGAACATGCCAGTCCCCTTGAGAAAGTTTTACTTGACATTCAAAGAGATAACTTCGTGAACACCATTGCACGCATCCAGAAAATCATACAGGATGACCCTTCAGATGTGCTTAGTGCAGATGTAATTGAAGCCACTGTGCGGATAGAAATTATTAAATGGGATTTATGCCTTCAGGACAAGGATGCCCATAAGATAGTAAATGCAATGTTGGAATATGCTAAAAAGGTCAAGGGGAGACAGAATTTCAATACTGAGATGAGGAAGGAAGAGTTCTCTGCAAAGCTGCACGATCTCCTGAAGTGGCAGCTTAAAGAACTAGAACTTACATACACTTCCTTGGAATCAGATTACAAGAAAGCAACGACTGACACTAGCATTTTTTTCTCGACATTTGAAGAACACAAGAAAAAGTTGCATGCCATTAAGGACGGTATCAAGGACCTGCAGCAGGCCTGTATGACTAAGGATGATGAAATGCAAAAATTGGCACATCAAGTCGCTGAGCATGAGACTGTATATCAGAAGTCTATAATGGAAAAGGTTAGGGTTAAGATGGCTCTGAAGAGCCATGAACAGACTCTTGGTTACTTAAAAGAGCAGCTAGCCTCTACTGAATCTGGATCAATTGACGTAGGAGCATTGGTTAAGGTAGAGATGGATAATATGAGTAAGGAGATTGAACTCTCCAAGGGAAATCTTCTAAATATCAACTTCAAGAAAGAGTAAAGAAGTTGTAAGCGTTTGCTTACAATTATTTATTTTCTGGCTATGGGCACTTCATGGTAAGTCCTTTCATGAACATTCTTTTTCATTATGTTGAAGCTCACATATGTTATCAGAAGACAAAACATGATGATTCATGCATCATAAATTCATAATGCTTGCTTTTCCTTATCATACTTTTTTTTTGCGGAAAATTATCATACTTTTTTTAGCCAGGCCATATTATCATTTCTTTATATCTTTTTGCCTGTCTTAGCCCACTAGAAACTTTGAAAGACGAGGATTGTGTCAGATATATATTAACTGATTATTGAAAGAGTTGCTTGAAAACTAGCTTAGGAGTGCTGCTTCTGTGCTATAGTAACCTAGCTATCATATCAATTATTGCAGGAGTTTCATTAGATATAATAGTTTACATGACATACAATCAGTTACTTCTGAAGAGTTGCAAGGTTGTAGAATGCCCCCTTCTTGTTCATGAGCTGCGGGTAAGAGCCACGCTCCACCACTTTACCCTCTCCCAGGAAAGCAATCGAGTCTACATTCTTGATTGTGTTTAGTCGATGTGCCACCACAATTGTGGTCCTCCCTGACATTATCCGATCAAGAGCTTCCTGCACCACTTGCTCTGACTGTGCATCAAGCGCACTTGTTGCTTCATCAAGTAGTAGTATTTCTGGATTCCGGATTATTGCCCTTGCAATTGCGATTCTTTGCTTCTGCCCCCCTGAGAGCTGTATACCATCAGCTTTGACGAAGCTCCACCAGCACGAGCCTGAAAACATGCTCTCCGCAATCAGTATCGTATCCATCCTTCAAAGATCTGAAAAATAATCAACTTAGTTCCTTGTGTTGGACAATGCGAGTTGAAATAAAAGGCTTGCTTGCAATATCTATATAATTTTGGAATAGAAACAAGTAAAAAGACTTACGAGATGAACTCATGTGCGTTTGCAGCTTTTGCAGCTTCCACGATCTCATCTTCATCAGCTTCTGGTTTACCAAAAGCAATGTTGTCCCTGACACTGCCTGAAAACATTGCAGGCTCCTGACTAACAAGAGCTGTAAATCCTCGGAACCAGAGAATATTCATCTCCCTCACATCCATACCATCAATTCTTACGGACCCCCTATCAACATCATAGAACCTCTGGATCAAACCTATGATAGTTGATTTACCACAACCGCTTCGCCCAACCAGGCCAACACTTGTTCCTGCTTTCACGTCCAAGCTAAAATCCTGTAGGATAAGGCATTCTGGTCTTGTTGGATATGCAAAATCTACCTTCTTGAATTCTATTCTACCTTCTATTTTCTTCTTCTGATCTTCCTTCTCCACCTGCAAAATAGATGTATATTATTCTCAATCATAGCAAGACAGCGTTGTAAAATCATTCTATACTCGCATAACTGCTTTGCCGATATGTATTCTGTGTGATGCTTATGAATGAGTTTGTTACCTGTGAATTTTTTGGAGAGATGGATTTCCTATCTAGCACCTCAAATACTGAAGCAACTGCATTTGCTCCCTTTGCCAGGTCAGATGTCATGCTACCAGCATCAGCAATCAGCTTTCCTGTGCTCACCAGCACGAAAAAGGTTTTGAAAACATCACCCGCTGATATCTCCCCAGACTGTGCCAGCTTCCCTCCATACCAGAAGTCCAGTGCCCATGACAAGAACGAGAGGCAAGGTGACAACCCTGTGGTGATCCCTGCTACCCATGATTTCTTCCTTGCTTTTTTCAAGGGTTCCTCTTGTGCATGCTCGAATAGCTGAAGAACCTTCGATGAGCATCCAAAGGAGGTTACCATCCTGTGGTTGTAAACAGCTTCTATGGCTATCTGGGTGCTTTGATGCTGAGCCTTTGCCAAGTCCCTTGACACATTTGAGAGAACCATTTTTTTTGCATAATAGCATATCATTGTAGATGGCTGTACAGCTATCATGACAAGAGAAAGTTTCCAAGCTACCATCAGGCCCATTGTCACTGCAATTATAATTCCGGAAGCTGTTTGAAGCAGTAAGGATATTCTGTCTGCAACAAGGGTTTTGACAAGAGAAGCCTCATTGCTTAGCCGAGAGCACAATGCACCGCTTGAATTAGTTTCTTCATCAAACCATGCTGCTTCAAAGGTTAAGATCTTCTCAAGTACTTGGACCCGGATGCGCCTAACAAGATGCTCCCCCATGTATGCAAAATTGTAGTGTTGCAATAGATTAACAACAATGGATACCAAGGACAGTGAACAGAAGATCAAGGCATAGCGTCTGATAATTGCATTCATCTCATTTTGGTCATGAACAAAGAATGCAGCAATCATTCCTCCGATGGTTATGGCATAGATGGGCTGCAAGGAACCATATACTAATGCAGACAAACTGCCTACGACTGCCTGCTTCCACTCAGGTGCGTTCATTGCAAGAAGCCTGGAGAAAGATGGTGCAGGTGGAGGAACATCAGAATTATTTTCCGTTAAGATAGCTGGTGTTAGTGGCATTGGACTTGCTCTGGACATGCTGTGACGGCTCGTACTTGTCCTGGCCACTGAGGAAGCCCTAAATTGTTCATTTTCTTGATCGATGTAGCTTACCATCTTCTGCAATTTCACAAGTCTCGAGTACGGGCCACCCTTGCTGATCAGTTCATCATGTGTACCAATTTCAGCTATTGTACCCCCATCAACTACTGCAATCTGATCAGCGTTCTTCACGGTTGAGAGCTTATGAGCTACTACCTGTCCATTGTTAATGAACAATCAGGCATTCAATGTCAAATGATTTTCTCTTCAAAAAGATGCAGTGCTAAGTAATTCAAGAAGTTCTGATATAAGGGTTATAAAATATGAAGAGTGGAAGCAGTGGCAATTTACCAGTGTTGTTCGTCCCATAGATGCTTGATCAAGTGCATGCTGTACCAACTTTTCTGATTCTGAATCAAGTGCACTTGTGGCTTCATCGAGCAAGAGTACAGCAGGGTTCTTAATTATTGCCCTAGCAATGGCAATACGCTGCTTTTGGCCACCTGATAACAATGCTCCACGCTCACCAATCTGCAAGAATGGAACATAAAGTATGAGACATGCAATTAAGGTGGCTGAATGCTCCTTTTCTCTTTTGATGCGCGTACCTTAGTCTCATATTCCTCTGGAAGCCCCCTTATGAAGTTGTGAGCATTTGCTGTCATGGCTGCTGCATAAACCTCATCCATGGTCGCATCTGGTTTGCCAAACAAGATGTTCTCTTTTATGGAAGTACCAAACAGTGCATGATCTTGGCTGACTAGTCCCATTTTGCTCCTGATCCATTTGAGCTGGAGTTCTTTGATGTCAAAACCATCAATTTTGACAGTTCCTTCACTGGCATCATAGAAGCGCTGCACTAAAGCTATTGCTGTTGACTTGCCGCTGCCACTGGACCCAACCAAAGCAATAGTTTGCCCAGCAGGAATCTGGAGGTTGAAGTTTTTGAGGACTGGCATATTTGGTCTTGATGGGTACACGAAACAGACAGATTCAAATTCGAGCTCTCCCCGAATTTGGTCCAAAATAAGGCCTTTTGGGTCATCAGCATTAATCTGGGGAACACGGTTTATCCGATCAAGGATTCTTGTTGCAGCAACAGATGCCTCGGTGAAATGTTTCAGCTCAGGGAGTGCCATTCCAAGGGATCTGCAACATTCAGTAAAAAATTGTTAGTGAAGCTTCTATTTCTACATGATCAAATGGAGTCATGAAGCCAGTAAAGCATAAAGAGTACAAGAAACATACAGGCCACCCAAGACGAATGAAATCCCAGCAGCATATATCCTTCCACCACTTACATGATGGAACATCACCAATCTGCCGCCATACCATGCGAGAAAGGCCCAAATGGCGAAAGAAAGGCCGGTGAACCCAACAGCAAGACCCTTTGCAATGCCTTGTTTGATCCCCAGCTTGATCGTCTTGTCAAGGATCGCTGTGTACCTCTGGATGATCCTTTTCTCGGCTGTGAAGGAGTAAACGGTCTTGATAGAGCCCAGAGCCTGCTCGACCAGGGAATTCGCCTTGGCGTACTCATGGCGTGACTGGCGCGATAGGTAGAGAAGGTACTTGCCGTAGATGAGCCCCGGGATTATGAGAAGCAGGACCAGAGGAAAAGAAACCAGAGCCAGCCTCCAGCAGAAATAAGTGGCGAAGACTAGTCCGGAGACGAAGACCGTAGAGTGCATCAGAAATAGAGGGACCTGTTCCAGATTTTATGAAAATCAGCCAAACATGCTGTTGTTTCTCCTTGAATGATGAAACCAACACTGAATTATATTATGTTGTGGATTTCTGCCCTGCTCTTTTATTTTCGCACATTCATTTTTTTCTGGAAGCTGGATAAATTATTTCAGTTTGTTTAATTTTTTTTTCAAGCAAGGAAAGACTAAAGAGTGTGGGTGTACGTCGATCATCCAAGTAGTTTATGTCCTTTTTCTAGGGTAGTAGTTTATGTCCTTGCTGAGACGGATTTGTGTTATTTTCATTATGAAGCAACTTATTTCCGCCTAGGTTGGGTGATTTTTATTTCTTTATTTCTTTTTTTAAAAAACAAACTTTCCTAGCCCCATTTGCATCTTCAGCCTGCTGGTGATGCATCCAGCTAACACCGGTACCAAGGTGGGTTGTTTATTGGTCTTTTTGCTGGATAATATATGTTTAGGATTACTCATTACTCCCTTTGTCCTAAAATAGATGATACTGTAGCTATTGTCTAGATTCTCATAGGTATAGTGTCATGTATTTTAATTCAAAAAAAAAGTGTCATCTATTTTGGGACGAGGGATTATACTTTATGGAGTACCTAATGCAATTTCATTGTGTGATTTAAACCGTATGTAAGCAGCACCCCGCATGTTCCTTGTTACGGTCCTGCTCCTGCCTGCCTTCCAGGAATCCAGGTCCATGAGGACCATGACAAAATCAAATGAATAATATGCCATATGGATCTAGCTTCTAGCGTCTCCATCGTTTGCCACATGGTGTATATTAGTGATGATGCTTGACGGATAAAATAAGACGGCAGCCTGATTGTACTAGACTCCAAGGCAGATGACGGTGCCGAGGCCAGAGCTCATTTACGATCACATGGCCTGCCATTCCGGGTCAAACTGTTTGAAATTCGCTGACGGTCTATAACAGGTAAGCGAACAGGTTCGCACATGTCCTCGATCGTCCTAAAAAAAGGCAGTCATTTGCAAATGGAGTGGATGGTTTTGGTCATTTGCAAAGGGAATATGCAGCGTAGTCTCGTCTTTTTTTTTTGGTCTTTCTTACGACTGAGTTTCTTTTTGTTGATGATTGAATTCTGACGATGACGAGTGAAGAAGTGAAGGAATGAGAAGGGTTGGGGTTGGTGGTGTGCCTGCAGTACTGCACCTTCTCGCTGAGGACCTCCTGGATGTGGGAGGCGTCCTTGGAGATGCTGTTTATGATCTCCGAGGTGGTGGCCTCCTGCGAGTCGAAGAAGCCCGCTTCCTGCCGCAGGATGGCCTGCAGGTACAGGTACCGGATCCGCAGCACCTGCCGTTCGCTCGTCCGGCTCCAGCAGTACCCTTCTGCAACCAGGAAACAGATGCGTGAGATGTAGAACCAGCCACTTACTTAGGCTCTCGTTTGGGGAAAAAAAATGTAAGAAGAACTTGCAGAAAGTTGCATAGGTAGGAAACAATTTAATTCTATAAGGTCCAGACCAGAAAAATCAGACTTTCCAGTATGGACATCAGTTCTTTATTAGTTTTTAAACAAATCTGTATGTAGCGCTAAAAAGATGTCTTCTTTTGGCTCTCATCATACACATGGGGCAACCGAGTAGGGTAACATAGATTAAGATATAGAAAGAGAAATGACCAGAGATGATGTCTGAGATGCTGGTGAGCTAGCACCTTGGTGATGAGCGATTGACAACACGGTGTGCGTGTGACGTGTCTCTCGGCAGGTTGTGGTTGTAGGTGACAGGTGGAGACAAGGTACATGCGGCGACGAGTGAAGAACGAGGATAGGATGCCGTGCCGAAGAACCGTGGGGGCGGAGAAGGGCGGATCGAGGCTTGCGTTCGAGGGACAGGCGATCGTGTGGTGTACGTCTACTGTACCTGGCTACACGGTGGGAGGACGTCAAGGGAGGTTTCCAGATTATGCCACAAAATCCGGGGTTCGCTGGTTGAGCCACAAAGCCATGCATCGTACCGGGACGCTCGTGCGGCGTGCGTTGGCCGAAGATGGAAATTCTGGCGATCGCGATACGATTTCGGATGGTCGTGCGGCGACATCGCGAGGATCACATCGCGGAGATGGAGGGATCGCGGACATCGCGGAATTTGCTATGGAGGACGTAATTGGAATTTACGCCCCTACGTTGGATTTATTTAGCGTAGGGAGTTATGTGAAAATAGGTCGTGCCACCCTTTGTAGATATAAATATGTGGCACCTAGGGTTGAGAGTTGGAGGACGTTTTGGACTCCCGGCGAGTTACTATTCACGCGTGAACAGTACCCATGAACAGTACTCATGCCGTGGGGTTCCCCGGTTCAATTTTCCTCTCTCCGGTCTAGCCTAGGGTTTGAATTCTAGTGAGAGGTTTTTGTTGATCTCTCCGATTAAGAGAGGGAGGATATTCGGGCGGAGGCTAGATGCACTTTTGTAAATTCAATTACTCGATTTAATCTTTCATCTATAATGATTGATCTTGTGCATCTCGATTGGTTCTTTACAATTCTCGTCAGCATCTGACATAGTCTGCTTGTTTTATTTTTATCTCAAGATCCGTAAGTCCGATTGACGTGATTCCAGTTGGGTTAGTTTCGTAATTTCATCTAGTTTAATCTGACAAATTTTTAGGTCGATCGGAGTTACGGATTTTCATCCACATCAGGTTTACTAGGTACATAGAGTTCTGTCCAGATTTGAAAAACATGATTTATTCAGGTTTTGTGTTTAGGGGAAGGGTTAGAAATTTTTGTTAGAAAGTTTTGGCTTCCGCGACCATTCACCCCCCCTCTGGTCGCCCGTTACGATCCTTCAATGTCTCCTTTTGAACGCAAAATTGCCATTAAAAATGATAAGTACTTACAAAACATTTTATTAGTTCCCGTTAAAACAAGGGGGAAAGTTCTTCATTGCAAGTAAGCAGGTTCTGAGAAACAGCATGTGTACGGTGAGTGATGTGCATGAATAATAGGGCTAGGTGTGGCGAGCTGAAGTTACCCATGAACGCCACCGCCAGGACCACGAACGCCAGGTAGACGAAATTCAGGCACGACTGCATCAACACCGGAAAAGGAGCCAAAAGAAGGTGAACAAATAATAAAGTTACTGAAAAATGCACACAGATGATGTTGAGCACGGTTCGGAGTTGACGACACTTGTCGCCGGTACACAGGTAATGCACGGCACACGACGAACCTTCTCCACCTCGTGCATGAACTGCGCGCTCTTAGCGCCGCCGCCGCCGCCGCTGGCCTGGGCGCCCCCGTACCCGAGCGCGTTCATCACGTCGCTGGCGAAGATGAGCAGCAGGTTGGTGGAGCACCCGTCGCCGATGGCCCCCAGCGTGCCCAGGGCCATGAGCAGGACGTCCACCCGGTCCGCGAACCGGAACATGCCGCGGATGCTCATCGGCCGCTCGCCGCCGGCGCCGGCGCCCACTGGGGCAGGGCCACTCATCTCCTCCTCCTCCTCCTCCTCCTCCTCTCTCTATCGCAAGCTGGAGCCTGATGACAAGGAGATGGCCGCCGGAGCAATGCTTGTGGAGTTGTGGGCGAGCTACCGATCCCAGCTCGATCGTTTTGCTGTGTGCTTTGGCACCAGGGCTTTATATAGCTGGGACCTGAGCTGAGTGTGCACCAACTCGCGCGTGTGTTTCGGTAATTTCCTCCCTTTTATTATTTGGGGTTGCATTGTTTCAAAAAATTATTTGGGGGTTGCATGATGAGGGGGCATGCACACATCACATTGCAACAGAGTAATGAATTGGAATTCAGCATGTGTGGTGTGGAGGACAAAGGTGGCTGCAAGCCTGCAACTTACATGCCCATTGGCTCCTCCTTATTATCTTTTCTTTTTGTATAATAGTAAATCCATCAATTGTAGATGCTATTGGATCTTTGGTGATGTGGTGGTTGTCTGTCAGTTTAATATTACAAGTGTTTTTCCTTTTCCTTTTGATTTACATTGCTGGGCTACACTTTTAAATGCCCTATCTTGAGTCATGCAATAGCCTTTTTCAGGCCAATTGGACCTATATATATTTAAATATAACGGTACTTCCTTCGATCACAAGGTTTTTCAAGCCAAACTTTGTTAAATTTGCCCATCAATAAATTTTGAAAACATGATTGACCTCATTAGATTTATTATGAGAATGACTTCATAATATATACTCCCTCTGTTTTTATTTACATGTCATATTATGTTTGTACTAAGTCAAACATTTGTATCTTTGACCAAAATCATGCCATAAGATTTATGTTTTTAAATTCACTATAAAAAATGCTTTCATAATATGTAATTCATAGGTTCTAAAAATATAAGGATTTTTAGAAATGTATGGTTAAAAATAATAATGTTTGACTTAGGACATTATAATATTTGGCTTAGGACTCTCTATTATTAATACAATGATACGCAGTTCTTCTGCGTATTCGAGAAAAAAATATTTGACTTAGGACAACCCTAATATGATACGTAAAAAAGGACAGAGGGAGTAACTTTGGTTTCTATAAACATTGCTTATCAAAGTTAAAAATCATGACTTAGCATAAATCTAGATGGAGTGATATTTATGATCCGAGGAAGTATATACATGGTTTTGGTCTGTGATGTGTAAATTAAAGCAGCAAAAGCAGGGCTGCATCTTTCTGTTGCTTACCCAAGTGAAAATGCTTTTAAATTTGAGTGGTCAAGTAAACAAGACAATTAAAGGCGGGTATCCTTTCAATCCTACCTACATTTGTTAACGCTACACAGGTATAGTTACCGTACCAGATTTAAACTGCTGCCAGTTAGGAGCCCACCATCACCAATTCATCTGTCATGTAGCATATTTTGGAAAGAGAGGCGTGCACGCATTTTATTTCCATGACAATTCATCTGTCATGTAGCACATAGAGTACACGACAATTTTATTTCCAGCACAAAAAAGAGGAGCCTACAAATACCAACGGTAACTTGAGTACATAATAAGATCATACATTAATATTGTCAGTCAAGCCGAGCAATTCAATTGATCAGATTCCTTGTGGTGATTAATTGAATTTATGCCATTGTAAATGTCATGATTTGGAGAAAACCCACTATCATTCATCTATTTGAAAACATACAACTATAATTCTTCGTCTACCAAAGATTTGCATGCTATACGTTTTTTATGCAGTTTGACTCACTCTTGGGCTACTGTATTTTTGTATGGACGAAAATACCCTTGCTAGTCCCATCTCTCTCCATTTCCTGACACGTAGGTCCCATGTGACACTGTCAGGGCCTATTTGTCACTCTTATCATCTCACTCCTTTTCTGGTCCCAGCCCCCTCTATCTCACAAGCTCAGGCCCATCCACATGGAGGCTAATGCACCCTCCAAGGCCCAGCTGTCCCCCTGCCCCTATCCTCGTGGAGGCTAACAAGCCACACTCAAGCTCCACCTCCCACCACCCCTGCCTCGTCCACGGCTCTATGGCCATGCCTGCACCGCTCATCGGTTGCTGACTCATCATCCTAGTCGCTAGCGTCGATACCAACTCAGAGAAAGTGAGAAGCGCGAACCCCGTCGAGTATGGGGAAGGCACAATCTAGCCCTGCCAAGCTAAATTGGAGGCACAGGGAGCATGACCGAGACACGAGGATGCTTACCAAAGGGTGAAACGGGATGGATTATGCGTGTATAGTGGCTTGTACATGAACTCATGGTCGTTGGAAGTATGCAAAGTGACATATCTCAGGTACATAAATTATAAATTATAATGACATATATGGTTACAATATGACAAATAATAAAGGTATATCTTAGAAGCGTAATAGTTATAATGGCATATATTTAGTTAAAACTAGAAAACAGTATATAGTAATAACATTGTCACGCCCTTAGGACAAATACTACCAGAAAATGGAATATCCTTAGGGCCAACAATTTCCTTGAGGGACAAAATTGAAGCCCCAAGGATATATCATTACTGTGGGATCGTATAAAACCTCCAAGTAAATGTATATTCTTGAGTGCTAATCCAAACCGCCAAGGTAATTCCATATTTTTTTGAGTACTAGTCTGAACTGTGAAGATAATTCCACGTTTCCTTGAGTGTTTTTACAAACCACCAAGTTATTTTCTCATTTCCTTGGGTGCTATTCAAAACCACCAAGGTAATTCACATTTCCTTGGGTGCAAACCCTCAAGTAAATTATTGTAGCTGCCAAGGAAAAAATGTTTTGTTTATAGTCATTCCTCTTAACCATCGATATAGTGGACTCATTACATTTTTTTAGTTAGACATTGCATTTTATAAACACAAATCCTCCATTGCCATGTTTGTAAAATGAAATACATTTTTTTGGTACATTAATCCAACAAAAGATACAATTTTGTGCTGTTATGCAATAGAGAATGCATATTGGCACTTAGCACGAGAGGTCTAGTTAGTTTCAAAGCTAGCATGCAACATACTAACGTCGTATGAAGGCAAATTTATATTAAAGTTGGAGAGCCCGAAGAGATATACAACTTTGTAGTTGAGGACTTCATTTGAAATTATTTAAAGTCCACAAACTATGTTTTAAGTTCTCGGAGTTTTGAAATTCAAATGTTTGAATTTTCAAACGACTTTAAATGGAGACACAACCTAAACAAAAGTTGCAGTACTCAACAAGATATAAAACTTTTCAGTTCAAACTTTTTTCATTTGAAATTGTTTCGGGTCTCTAATACTCATTACAAGATCCACTAAAGTTGAATAGAAAAAGAAAGAAACATTCACTTAGTTAGAAATGACTTTATGGTGTAGTGTAAGTGAGTTTCACACGAAACCTTAGGTTTTTACGAGTTCGATTCCCAGCTACAATAAACATGTGTTTTTTTCTCTTTTTGCTATACATATCCTTGGGGATCATCAACGTATATCCTTGGGGTTATCGGCCCTCAAGAAAATATATATCCTTAGCGGTTGGTATATATACCTTAGATGTCATCAGCGCTTCATCGACACTCAAGAAAATATATATCCTTAGGGGTGATATATGTCCTTGGGTGTCATCGGCACTCAAGAAAACATATATCCTTTGGGGAGGGGGAAGGTGTTACATTTCCTTGACGTTGTTCAAAATCTGATCTTTGTTTCCTTGGTGACCAAACCCTCAAGGAAATCATTTATAGCGGTCGGCCTTCAAGGTAATTTGAATTTCCGTTCCTCTCTACCCTTGGCAGCCATCCTTGACGGTTGGCCGTCAAGAATAATTTCCTTGACGGGTTTTATGGTTTTTTTTGAGGGTTTTGGACTCTCGAGGATATTCCGTTTTGTGGTAGTGAAATAGTCTTAGAAAATGACAACCAATGCGCTTTTTTTAAATGTCAACAGGAGGGGAAGGTTCCCTAGCCTAGGTTCATTTGATCTTAGCGACGCGCTTTGTAAATACTGCATCCATTTTTTTATAATATATATACGAGTGAACAATCTAATTAATTTATTTTAAACTAATTAAGTTTTCTAAACGTTAGAGGTGAGTGTGCGTGCATTGTGCTGTGTAATCGTAAAAAAAAAAGATTTGCAAGCGCTGCGTAACCATGATGAGGCACGGAAGATTTAAAGGCCATGATGTGCTCCCTGTAATAGTATGAGCTAGGATTGTCATTTGCAAATCGCAGCGTAATGATGATGCTGCGATCTAGTAGGCTAATCACAAAAGGCTGGCACTGAAAAGCTATCGCAGCGGGATCCTAATGGAAGCGCTTTCCGTTCACCTGACAAAGAAATTACTTCAACCACATTTGCATCTTTAACCAACCCACTAATCGATATTCGTCCTGTTCACTTAGCTTATAAGCCGTACTTTTTCAACCAATGAATAATATTTTTCTCTAAGAACAAATCAGCCAACAGTACTTTCAGTCATGGCTTATCAGCCAGCGAACAAGACAATTACGTATCTCATTGTAGCTCATCCTACGAGCTAGCTCCAAGTTTCAACACATGATGTGCGTCGAAAGCAACCGTTGCTAGCTCCCCTTTGCCTTCTGCCAGGGACACTACATCAGCTATAATTTTTCTGGACGGAGCTGGAATATTCTTTTGATGCAAAGACATTAGCTTACGAGTGAAGTGGTACACAGGTCAGTACTCAGTAGTATTAAAACCCATCCATCGGAAAAGCTACTTTTCTCACCGTTTTGCACGCTTGAATTCAGTGTTTGAAGTATGTACTATATAGTATGTTTCAAAAAAAAAGTATGTACTATAGTATAGCCTATAGGGTAGTCAACTTGAGTATATTATTGTGTTCTTGCATTGCTCACACGCATTGTTGACGCTGCCAGGAAATAACGTACTCCCTCTATCCTAAATTTTAAGTTATTTTAATTTTTTTAGAGAGTCAAAACATCTCAAGTTTAACTTTAAAAAAAAAAATTCATGACATCAAATAAGTATATTATAAAAATATAATTAATAAATAATGTAATAT